CTAGGATCCTGCCTCACTATACCACCCCCTCATCTGGTGCAAATCAACACAGCGCCATTAGCATCAGCTGAAAGTCTGGTGCCCCAGGTTGGTGTATTCAGCCAATCAGGGGCTCAGGTTAATTAGCTGACTCAGCTGAGGGCAAGGAGTTGACACTGGGCTCTGTTGTGGGTCGCTGGCACATGCCAGTCTGCAGCAGAGCAGTCAGGTGAGCACAGCTCTTGGGTGTCATGAGCAGGCTAGTGCGGGAGCCAGGAACCGAGGTCTTCAAAAGGGCTGATAAATTACCTTATTTTCATGGTGTCCTCCTAAGCGTCAGAAGCAGTATGCAAAGTACCGTTAGGTGCCACTCTGCGTGTGCACTGAGGTAAGTATGAGAAATCAATTTTCCTAGTAGTTATTTGGGTTCTTGTGAGGCTACAGGTACTGTTTCTTTAAGTCTATTGCAGGAAGCTATTGCAGACCGGGGAAGACTTTCTACAGTGAAGCAGAGAAACATAGAAGCTTTAGGAGTAATACTGTTTTCCTTATTCTCACACAGATCCTTGTCCAGTACTAGAATTCTTCTTTCCCTCATGATATCCTGTTGCTTGATATTAGACTAGACCTCCCTGTTTTTATGCACATTGAAAGAAGACCAGAGAGTTCTAGGTGAATAGCATGAAAGGAGGGTTGTTCTAGACACATTACTTCTGACTGTCCAGTTATGTTCATGGACCGATTTCATTGACAGAGGAAGTAGGCGGCTCTAGATACCTTAGGGTATGTCTACACTACAAAGTTAATTCAAACTAACGGACGTTAGTTCGAATTAACTTTCATAGGCGCTACACTAGCGCTCTGCTAGTTCGAACTTAATTCTAACTAGCGGAGCGCTTAGTTCGAACTAGGTAAACCTCATTGCACGAGGACTTACTAGTTCGAATTAAGGGCTGTGTAGCCCCTTAATTCGAACTAGTGGGAGGCTAGCCCTCCCCAGCTTTCCCTGGTGGCCACTCTGGGCACCACCAGGGAAACTCGTCTGCCCCCCTCCCGGCCCCGGAGCCCTTAAAGGGGCACGGGCTGGCTACGGTGCCCGTGCCAGGTGCAAGCCTGCCAGCACCCAGCCAGCAGACCCTGCACCTGGCACGCCATGAGCTAGCCACACGATGCCCCTCAGTCCTCCGCTTCTTCCCGGGACCAGGCTGGCGGCTCTCAGGGCCAGGACCGCAAGAGGCGGGCACCCGCCTGGTCTAGTGCAGACATCGTGGACCTCGTCCACGAACTCCGCACTAGGCACAGGAAAGTGGCCGTCTAGGGCAGGAGAGCTGCCAGCCTGGCCACCCAGGA